GAGGGCCCTCGTTCGTGTCGAATTACAATCTGCGATTTTTAAGAGCAAGGGGGTGATATAGCAAGTATGCAGGGGTGTTGTGGAATTCAAGACAGATTTGTGTAGTTGTCAGAATTAAAAACCAATTCTGATTTTGAATGATGTCACAGAATCAAATTGGATATGCGTCTTTTCGAACATATGCAAGACCAATATTCGAATCAGCTGTTTACTAATGTGACAAAATTTACAAATGAATAAATTAGGAAGCGTTTTATAAATTCGAAATGCTGAAAAAAGTCTACTAAAGATTACAGTGAGTTCCGCTATTTTAGCTTTTATTTTATTTGAAGAAAAAAAGCAACGAAACAAATAAAAGGAATATATTAAAAGATGACAGTAATCCACTTGATGCACCAGGAGAGTCGCATGTGAAATTTGGCTTGCATTTACTTGTATGTTTGTATACATGCTGAATTTGCAGATTTATATCACATTATCGACTGAATAAATTTTCTTAAAATATCTAGATTTTTTCCATTAACTCGATAATTATGACATTTTTTGTTTTATTTTTATGTTTTCCCCTATAGAAATAACGATAAATTAAATCGTAACAAAAATACAAATTATTTGCTTAACTTACATTTCAAATCTGTCAGCAAAAATCCTCTTGCTTTGTTTTTGATAACTAAACCGATAAAATTGGTTTCCGTGACACCCAAAACCGATGCAATTTCTGTTTCGAACGTCAAACCAATAACATCTGAATTCATGACACCTACTACATTTTTTTATCGGTTTCAATTCTGATTCCGACAACTATCAGATTTTACAACACCCCTGAATAATATAATTTAATATGCACCTTAGCCACAGCAGCGCGTGGTCGTGTCTTCTAATATGTTATAAAACTAATATATAATATATTTGATGAATTATGAAGTATATTTGTTATATTTATTTACTGAGTTCGTTAAAAGTAATATAACATCTTAAAATACCAAATGATTTCGCATTTGTATATAAAATGTAATGTCTTGATTAATCGTAAGAACTCACCCAGCGAATACAGCTGTACTTGCATAGCAAGTTAAATAATAAATCGTGATTTAATTAACACCAATTCGTTTTATTGATTTGTTCACTCATTGCTTCATGTGAAATCTATGTTGACACGGTCAACCAATGACCGAGGCCAATGTTTTTTGTTTTCCTGTCAAAAAGTCAATGTGTCGAAGGACTGACGCGACGAAAAAGCGTCACAACATTGTGTTGTGGGGAGCGAATCCGAATGTTTTGTAATAAATAAAAAAAAATGTGGAGTAAACAAATTACGTTTTTTTAATAGTTCCCGCCATACATTTGGCCTTGAAAATATTAATAGCGGATATTCAATACATTTTGTGGACTAGAGAATTCCCGTCATAACATTTTCTTTGAAAATATTATTAGCGAATGTTTTAAATATTGTTCTACCACTTTCATGGTAATTCCTTCTAAGTAAAATATGATACCGCCATACCAACATAAGAGAATTTGCCGATAATTCGCATTCCGATAATTGTGTTTGTTTATAAGTGATAATATTATGAATGTGTGCATACATAAATACATACACTCGCCAGAAAAAGTCTGCGTAAACGCTTATATCTTATATTCTTTTGTTAAAAAATAACTTTTATATACTAAATTTTAGAGCATAATCATATTAAGTGCTTTATCACTAGTCTATTTCATAATCCCATAGTATAGTAAAATGGGAATTCCCTACGTAATAACTAAATGTAAAAGTGTCGGAAAGTTAGTTTTTTTTCGTAAAAGTGATTTTTTTCTATTCAGTTTGTTATTTAGAATATCGATAATATAATAACGATAAAATATTTTTATATACATATTTCTCTAAATAAATCATGTAATTGACACCATTATGGAGTCACAAAAGTACAGAATTGCGTTTTGCTCTCGGCATTTCACATTCAATTTTCAAGTGTCGATAATTACGTCAAAAATCAAATATACAGGTTGGTTGGTCTCACCAAGCACTACTAGCAGAGAACGTATATCATAGAGAAGGTTCAATTGCGGACCAGCGTGTGAATTGTCAAAACCTAACAAGATTTTAATAGAGGATTTCACCACTTTTGGCTCGGAAGGAGAAATTTTAACAGTGGAGAGTGAACAGAGCTGAGCATTGTATGAAAATTATGCTCAGAGACTTGCTTTGATATTACAGCTGCATGTTAGCCTTTTGGCATATATTCTTATACGCTTATATGCAATCATATTTATTGATATGAATATCATTTTGNGCAACTTTTCCCTTCCAGAGGGAATATCAGAAATTTGTTCAATTTATGATTTTTAGCGTTTGCCAACAAGCTTCTTTTCGCGACGATGGCAAAAGCTAAAAATCATAAATTGAACAAATTTCTGATATTCCCTCTGGAAGGGAAAAGTTGCAACCACGCAAGCCCACAAAACACAGAAAAAATTGACAAAACTGGCAACAAAGCTTTTGTCGATTTAAAATATTTTACAATTTTAAAATATTTTTCCGTGTCTCACAAAAATCTGCGTCAATATGTATGCATGCTCATACATAAACATACATATTTACGATAGTTTGTAGGCAAAGCTACCGCTGGAAGCGGTGACATTAGGCGGCCGTTCGTTATTTTTTTTCGGCATAGCTCGGATTTTCTACCAACAACACAATGTTGTGACGCTTTGTCGTCGCGTCAGTCCTTCGACACAGTGACTCTTTGACAAGAAAACAAAAAACGTGAGCTTCGGCCATTGGTTGTCCAGGGCAATGGAGATTTCCCATGAAACAATGAGTGTACATATTTACATACATACGTTGCATATAGACAAATTAACAATTATAATGGGTACTTTCATATTTGTTTACATGCAAACATAATTATACATATATATTTGAATAAGCATATTTGGGACCACTTCGTCTTTTCTTATCGGGTTATGTCAAGCAAGAGGTGTACAAAATCAAACCCAGAAATCTGACTGAACAGAAGCAGTACATTAGATAGATATTTGAGGCAATCCCGACTTGAACCCTCCAGGCCGCATTAATTTTCTGATTAGGTGTCCAATATGCATGGCTGAGCATGGAGGAATAATTAATTGTATAAAATAAAATTAAAATTTTCTATACAATACAACAAAGATAGATAAAAAGAAACTTATTACGGTTAATTTTTGTAGAACGATTCGTGAGCCGCCCTGTATATGCAGAATATCTTAAAATTATATATAAATTCGTTTGCGCATTGTAAATATACGAATCTGTAAGCGTACATTTCTTAACATTGAAATTAGCATTATTTTTCTCAATTAACATTCAAAATGCTCAATTCTGCTATTTTGCGCTCCGCAGGGGTAAAATTCTGGTGAAATCCGCTTATAATGAGCGTTTGAGGTGAGATCCTCTTAAGTTGGCGAGTAACCCTCCGTCAAGAGGAACATTTTGACAATCGGCACACCATGAACCTTCTCTATGATATACGTTCTCTGCTACGAGCTCCAATTTTTTTTCGCAAGTTATATCTGTCGTGAGAACACATACAAAGTTACAAGTCATTCTGTCAATTAATTCTTTGTTTACGAACCATTTGACGTTGACATGTCAGTATTTTTTTAATATGGAAAAAACTGAATATCGCGCAGTGATTAGATTCTTTGTTTTGAAAGGTTTAAATCAAAGAAAATTTATGAACAATTGTTAGAAGCGTATAAGGAGTCCTCACCTTCAAAACGCACACTTGAATTTTGGGCTGGTGAACTTAAACTAGGCTTGAAGACAATCCACGCGAAGGACGACCAAAAACCGCAACCACACAAGAAATCATTGAGCAAGTTCATAATATTGTTAGTGAATATCCAAGTTTAACTAAGCATGAAATTGCTATTGCCATAGGCATTTCAGACGAACGAGTACTTGATATTTTAAATGGGGAATTACATATGAAAAAGCTGTTTGGTAGGTTAGTGCTGCGCCGGTTAACAATTCAACAAAAACTGAATCGAAAACAAATTTCTCAACATAATTTGGAGCGTTTAAATTGAAAAATGAACGTTTACAGTGCACTGAAGCTGGTTGTTCAGTTCACAACGAGCAGCAAAGAAAGTTATGGCATCAGTTTTTTGGGATGCAAAAGAAATTTTGTTGATTGATTATTTGCAGAAAGGTAAAACAATCAACTATGAATATTATTGCAGCCTTTTGGATTAGCTGAATGAAAAAATTCGTGAGAAAAAATCACGCTTTGCAGCACAAAAAAATCATTTTTCATCAAGACAATGAACCTGCTCACAGAGCTTTAACGAATTAAAGTACGAATTACTTTAGCATCCATCGTATTCACCAGATTTGGCTCCCAGCGACTACTACCATTTCAGAAACCTAAAACAATTCCTTCGTGGAAAGCGTTTTTTGTCGAGTAAAGAAGCTATTACAGCCGTATACGGGTATTTTGCAGAGATTCCGTAAAGTCATTATAGGGATGACATAAAATTATTGAAGGATCATTGAAATAAGTGTATTGAAATTAAGAGAGTAAATATTGAATAAAAAAATAAATTTCGTACCAAAAACATTACTTTTTCATTTCGAGCGCATAAACTTTTCAACCAACCTATATTATGTATTCATATGTAAGCATATACATACATATTTTTCTTTTATTTTTCGTCCCAATTTTTTTTATAAATTTAAATTAATGTGATGAATTCAGATTATAAAGTGGAAAGATTTACAATATTAAGATTTACAATATTAGAGAACATATCAAGCACGGTCTTTCGAAACTTCATTATCACTTTCCAATTTGATTATATCTGTAATTTTAATCATTGTGAATACAAAAATACACAAAATAACTTTTAGAGAAAGTAAACTTTGGAAGTAAAATCAGAACAACAAAAGAAGCAGAAAAAATATCACAGTTGAAAATTGAGAATGTTACATTTTCACATGTTTAATAATATAATATTCGCTCTTAAAGTTGGTTTAGTAAATTTATTATCACATTTTAGTATATAATTTCTGTTAAATAATGTTATACTAGAATTGAAGGTTTTTATGTATATATATATCTCAAACTCGTGTAACATAAAAAATTACTGCAATAATTCCAGTGTTGAGAAAAAGTTCAATCACAATTTAAGATGAGTACATAATGGCTCTCACATAATCGGGCTAAAATCGCAGCCACGAATGTAAATGTTGACAAAATGTATGTCCAGATACAACAGTTGTTGCTAGGTGATCTGATGTATTTTAAATCAATCGATAATTTTGTTGATAGAAATGAAAATTAAATTTAAAAAATGTCAATTTGTGTTTCTAAATACACTAAATATACACACATAATCCTCGGTTCACCTATTACTCTTTAGAGTAATTTGAATGCAACTCGAATATGCAATAGTACACGTTTAATAATCAAAGAGATTACAGGAAATTTTATTGCAGCAACCATTACGACTGGAAAAAAGGTCCCATTGTCACGTATCCCAATAGTACTATACCGCCTATAACGTTTTCGTCTTTATTCGTAAATATCATTTGCTATATTGAATAGTTTATAATCAGGGGTGTTAAGGAATTCAAGACAGATTTGCGTAGTTGTCAGAATTGCGAACCAATTCTGATTTTGAATGGTGTCACATAATCTGATTGGATTTGCGTCTTTTCGAACATATCCAAACTAATATTCGAATCAGCTGTCTACTAATGTGATAAAATTTTCAAATGAATAAATTAGGAAGCGTTTTATACATTTGAAATGCTGAATGAAGTCAACTAAAGTTTACAATGAGTTCCGCTATTTTAGCTCTTATTTTATTTGAAGAAAAAAAGCAACGAAAAAAATAAAAGGAATATATTAAAAGAGCACAGTAATCCACTTGATGCACCAGGGGAGTCGCATGTGAAATTTGGCTTGCATTTACTTGTATGTTTGTATACATTATCGACTGAATAAAGACGCGTTTGGGTGTTAAATTATGTTTGTTACGTTTTGTAAATTCTCTTAAAATATCTTTGGAAGATTTACATCCACCCGTATCCATAAAAAAAAAAAAAATTAGTCTTGACGTTTCCTTCTGGCAAATTTAATATACTCTGTACAGGATAATATTAATACAACTTAAATATATACAACATTTTAATTTACAAACTTCTTTGCTTTCTAGCACGGGGAGGATTCCATGATACAGGTGTTGCATCAGTAATGGAAACAATATTAAGACCACCCATTTGCAAACCTTTAATTGCAGACTGTAATTAAACTAATTTCATACATTGTCAAAAAATATAATAATAATGTTTTACCATACGACCAGGTCCCAATCCACGCACTTTTACGCGAACGGTTTTCCAACCTAATTCTATTGCTTTCTGTAAATAAATGAGATATAATATTACCGCGTGATATTTTAAAACTTCATGTTATTTACCTCGCTAATAGTTATTGCAGTGGCTTGAGCTGCAATATTTGTACCTTTGCGAGTGTTTTTAAAACCTTCAATACCGCAAGATCGGATTAGTCTAGGTATACCTTTATTATCGGTAACGCTGATTACAGTGTTGTTAGGTGATACTCGTATATTACAAATAGGTAATTCAGCAAATGGAATCCCATTATATAATTGGTGATAAGTTTTGACATCGGGGAAGAATTTTTCTTTCCTGCCAAATACAGTATATTGAAGAAATTAATATCTTATCTCAGTGGCAAAACCACCAACTTTTTAGTTGATATATTCTCGTGCGTTCTTTTTAAAACTAAAATTAATATATTATATTTAAGATAATTTTTAATCCCTAGACAACTAATTTGAGATGATGAGACTCAAGTAAATAATTGAAAATTTTGTTAATTACATAACCTTTGCTATCCTATCATTATTTTCTTGTTTTCTCTAGTTATCCATTAGATATTTTTATTTCACGTTTATACATATGTAAGTATATATGTACTTATATGTAGTATGCTATTACATTGGCGGGCCTGAGCACACGGTCAAAATATGAATTAATAGGTTAATTACGTTGTGCATTTATAGAGCGGGCAACTCAAAGTAGCCATTTCAATTTTAAGGAAATTGAAATCTGCCCAGATCAACATATGCGAGCATTGTCTTGATTGAAACTATTGCACATTACCTTTTAATATTAGGATGACGAGAAACGAATTTGAGACATGAGTGTATTAGCAGACATAACAGGAACGGACGCAATTTTTATCCTGCCAAGAACGTCAATTTCCGGCAATCATTAAACATTGATCGACAGTGTAAACAAAAAAAAATGCAAAAATATTACAACGAAAAAGCAACCGTCACAAATGAAAGCACAATTGGTAAATGTATAGTTTAGGTCCCCCAAGGAAAGAGGCCTCAAAAATTCTTTCTTATTAAAAAAAATTTAATTTCTGAGGAACCCGTAGTTGCGGGACCTAAACTATACATTTAAATTTTTTTACTACAAATTTATTATCGATTCGTAGAAATAAATCTTGCTTACTTTTGGATTAGCGTATCTATGTCAATCGATTTCTCTCCAATTGTTCCCTCGTCTTTATCAGGGAGGGAAGCCATCATTCCCTTCCTATCTTCTACTTTTCGCATAACAACAGAAGTGTGAAGCTTACAAGCCTCTATAATATATGAAAATCGAGGGCCACACATCTCAACAACAGAATTTAACACACGTATCATCCTGATTCTTAGCAGAAATAATCAGATTCTGACATTGTCCCTAATTCTTAGGCTTACCAATAACGATACAGCTACTAATGTTACGTCATATCAAAATAATCATTAGTGATGGTGATCATCGATTAAAATTAACCATGTTAATGGATTTCAAACGAAACCTACGAAACGAACCCAATCAACTATTACACCCCATCTCGATGTGTAATTTTTGATTACCCGCTATTGTCGACTGTATATAATTGCTTTAAACTTTAGCTTTGCTTGACTCCGCCCACGAAGGCTTTCCTTGACCAAACTTATATAATATTTTGTTGGCGGAGAGCAACAAAAGATGACTTATGGACGCGCTGTTGTTGGAGCGACAAATATGTTTTTTTAAGCGCGCCGAAAGGCGCCAGTGCAGTATGAGTGTGCGAAATAATTTTTAAAATATACTTGTTTTCTTAAAAGTCGAATTTTTTATTTTAGATATATTTTAATGTGTACAGTGTAATTAAAAATAAGTTCATTGAAAAATTCGTGCAAAGTGTGTTAAACATATATATATATATAAGGAAATATATAAAATAAGACGATTAAAATAAATTATCCTTTACCCAACAAAGTAATTGGACATTCCTTTTCATTCTGAATTTGTTTCCATGGCGCTCGAAGTGGAGGTTCTCCAGATCAAGAATATATATAGAGATAGCCGCGGGAAACTTAAAGTTTTTGAGATATTTGCATTTAAATTTGTAAAATTCAACCATTTAAAGTAAAATTTTTCACTTTCATATCCACTAACATTTCACTTATTCATTTCTACATATTTATTTCCCATTATATAGTGAAAAAATAGCTTTAATTCAATATTTAAAGTTTTGTTTTATTCTATTTATTTACCTGGATATTACGCAACCAAGAAATTTGAAGAACATTTTATTATGATTTCAAGCAATTTATGCATTGTTCAATATGATGTAAAAGTGTAAAACAAATAAGTGTAGTATTAGTGGATATAAAAGTAAAAAATATAGGATTAAAATTTATATAAATTGAAAAAATACGTACGATAAATTGTTGAATTTTTCAACTTTATATGCAAATATCTCAAAAACTATAAGTTTGCCGCCGCTATATCTATATACATCATTTATCTGGAGAACCTCCTGTACAGCCCAAACCCATTTTAACTCTGAAATCCTGGGACGGATTATTATATACACTATGCTCCAGAATTTGAATTGTATTATCTATTTTTTGTATGTAATATACGAATATGGATATTAAATAGACATAGGTATTTTAGAAAAAGGTTTGAAATTGTATTGCGCATTGTAACGCACAGTGTAAATAAATCTTACAAAAATTTAAGACTCTGATATGAAAGGGAATGCAGACCATTGCAGCTAAAAGGTTGATGTTCATGAGGCCAGATAAAACAGTGCAATTCGGGTGCGCCAGTTGAGCGAATTGTCATGAATGTAGGTAGTCCATTTCCCACAAATAAATTAGGAAACAAATATGCTTCGGTAGTCAAGGACCACTTGAGCGAATGGCCAGAGGTATATCCAAATCCTAATCAAGAGGCTGAATCATAGCAGACGTATTCATGAACACGTGGGTAACGAAATTTGGTGGTGAAAGGAATCTCGAGTCAGCTTTAATTCAGAGGATGTAAAAGAAACTGAGTACTAGGAAAACACTTACCTCTGTTTTACATCCGCAGTCCGATTGCATAGTTAAAGGATTTAGTCGAATTTTGGAAGAAATTTTGAGGAAAAAGGTAGCCAGATATCAAAAGAATGTGATACCCATTTATAATTTTTCCTGGCGGCAGATCAACCTGCTGTACATGAAATAACAGCAGCAGACTCCAGTGAGAGCAATTTTTGATAACAATCTTTGGCAACTGTTTAATTTTAGCTTTGGAATTGACCCCAATAAGAGAAGAACGGCTAAGGAGTCAACAGCACCCAAGAAGATGAGATAAGCGGCATAAATATTGTACTATACGTTTGGTACCGCAAATATGTCTAATCGGGACTACTGGACTTAGGTATAGGCCAGAACAAAACACAGTATTTATAATTTGCAAGAATCCTCCAGGCAGCGAAATTCGTGGTTGCCAGAAATTTCGAGTGGCGATATTTTGGCAATGATCTACTATATAACAGTTCTAGTTCGAATGCTGCCGTGTAAAGAGCGCATGAGATTAGAGTAAGAAATAGTAAGCTGGTATAATGAGTAGTAAGGCGTTAGGTTGTTCGAATTAGAACTAAAGATAAGTGTATAGCCATTGTTCTAGGCCATAAATAGATTAATGCCCAATTAACAATTTCGAATTTATTTAATTTAAGTTTACATTCAATTTCTTTTACTCTTAACACTCCTAATGCTCTATTAATAATGTGCTTAATATTATGCTAGACGGATTTTCATCCCGTCTTGTGCTTGGTTTCTTATTACCTACGTACATACAAGGTGCGCTTAAAAGTAAACAGGACTTTTAAAAAAAATACATAATAAATGGTTTTATCGGCAAAATCAATTAATTTTATTCAAATAGCATGTCGAACGAGTGTTTTAGCTCGTTGCCCGGTATGGCCGCCAGTATGCCGGTGCTAGTCTTTTGAATGGCCTCCACGTCTGCATAACGCTTTCCTTTCATCGGCAAATGCGTTTTTCCGAAAAAGTAAAAGTACACAAGCGTCGATCGATGAGACGGCGCATTATCGTGCAACAAACGTTAACTTCCATCGCTTCAAAGCTCCATGAAAGAATACCGCATTAACGTTTTACCGGGTAGAACAAATTCTTTGTGGACAATACCCTTGGAATCATAAAAACAAATCAGCCTTGTCTTCACTTTTGATTTCTCCAGGCGCAATTGTTTGGGTTTGGGTTCATCGTCATTTATGTCCTCGTTTCGGTAAAAGTTTTACCAATTTTAAAACAAAATTTAATGTTGGCTCTTTGTTCGAAGCTCATTTTCGCACCGATGACAAAAACATACTGACACTTAAAATACAATAGCTTCACTTCCAATAGATGAAATGTCATGAAATTTTTACCGGAAGTCGCTAAAGGGTAGCAGATTCTAACGCACTAGTCGACATAGAGATGGCACTAGAGTTTACTTTGATACCTTTTCACTGTTTACTTTGGAACGCACCTTGTATGTAAGCATGTGCGTATATGATGATGCGGGCATAGGTATGAAAATATGTATTTTTGTGTGTATGTATATATCTACCTCCTTACAAAGCGAAAAGTGAGAACATAAAAAATGCAATTATGTTCAATTATAGAAAACCGTAACATATGTATATAAATGTAAGAATTTGTGTGAATATGCATAAACAGTGCTCTTACAGAGGTGCCTAATTAGAGGTCACGGTCATCCGAATTTTCACAGTGTCGTACTTCTGACCAAACATGCTCCCCCCACTGAAATGCTTGCATTTCAATCCGAAATAGGTAATGGTGCAACTTTATGGATTGCTCTTCGTATAATCCCTTTTGTAGTTTTGATGTCCACAATCCCCTCACTTTGTCGTCTGAACCAGGAGCGATGTCGATAATTCTGCCAAGTCACCACTGTTGTGGAGCCAAATTGGTTTGATGAATGATGACCATTTGACCAATTTTGATGTTGGCTGCCGGCTTCAACCACTTGGAGCGTTGTTGTAGGATAAGAATATAGTCCCAGGAACGCTGCTTCAAATACGTCACCAGTTGCCATTGCGTTAACGAAGATACAGTGTTAATATTGATGGCTTTGTCTGCCATCGACAGTAATGACGTTTCGATCAATAGATGAGCTGGGGTTAACGCTTCGCCATCATTAGGATCATTTGAATAAGGTGTCAGCAGGCGAGAGTTTAGGATAGATTTAACTTCAACCACAACGGTATGCAGTTCTTCATATGTCAGGTGTGCATTTTACATGGTTTTTTTTTATGGATTTCATAGATTTTATTGCCGCCTCCCATATACCTCCAAATTGCGGAGTCCGAGGCGGAATAAAACAAAACTCCAAACCAGTGTTGGTGCTATAATTAGTGATGCCATCATTATTCGTTTTATTAAAGAACTGTTGATTAAGATCCTTTAATTTTCCTTGAGCACCGACGAAATTTGTGGCCTTGGCGCAGTAAATGCGTTGAGGTATGCCGCGTCTTCCTACAAAACGTTTTAACCAAGTATAAAGTTATTAATAGAC